TTTTGCATCCAGGCAATCCACAATTCGCATTTCTCCCACAGGTGGAACTGCGTACAATGGCACTGTCGGCGAGTCATGGACGGCACCGAGAGCAGTAGATGGAACCTATCTGCGTCTAGCCCCACTGTATGAGAGCACAACGCACTACCAGCTACGCACTGGCCCCTACTACACAGAGGATGAGGCCCCGGCACACGGCATGACGCTACCGCCCAAAAGCTCTCTCCCTACACGTGAATGGTAGAAGCAGCCGAACGAAATGTAAAGTAAGAATTTGTCTGTCACATAAAGGGCGCTAGAGGACAGCAGAAATTGACAGGCATCCCACATTTACAGCACATAGGATGTGTACTGTAAAGGAAACTGATTTTCTTATAATAACCATTACCAGTGGGTTTTCTGCACCTCTATTGCATTGCTTGTAATGCCACTATCATAGATACCTTGTCAGATCTTCACAGTTTTCATTTGTCTCTTTTCTATCTTATACCTTTCAACCAAAACTTCAAGCCATGCGCCAGCCACGCCACACCGCGCTGCTGCCACTGCTGCCGTGGCTCATGATGGTGGTGTGTTGCGCCGGTGTTTGCGTTGCCGCCGATCGTTCCGTGAAGCACCGCTGTGGGTTTGACGCGATGATGAAGAAATACGGCCGGCTGCCGACTGCGGTGGTGCGTGAGGTGCCGCGCCGGGGACAGGGCGCCGTGCAGGCGTACACCGCCGCCAGCGAGGATGGGGACGACGGCTGGGCTCCGATCCGCATCAAGGTGTCCGCGGAGGACATGCACGACCCGTTGAGGCACTGCACTGCGGCGGGGGATCTGCGCATTGACCACGACGGCCGCGCAATAACATGCGGGGCGGACGACGTGTTGACGGAGGAGAGGAGGAGCATTATTCTGAGGCAAACTCTCCCCGCCGCCATTCAGCTGCACGCGGAGCGTCTCTCCGTGAGGCCCGTGACGCGCCCCGTCCTCATTCCTCGAACCGGTCTGGGGATGTGCGATAACTTCACCATCCCAGACAAGCACCACACGGTGGGTGTGGTTGGTACCGACATGATTCTCTACGCCAATATTTTTCCGACTTCTGGTGTAAGGTCGTGGGCGGCTCTGTGCGTCCTGCTGGATGATGGTCGTCCATTTGCTGCTGCCGTGAACTTTGACCCGAGCCAAATAGCGGTGTCGATTGGAGACGTGCGTGCAGCGGCCCACGAGTTGGGGCATGCCATTGGGTTTGATGTTTCTTATTTTGTGACGTTACATATGATTTCCGAGGTCCCGAACGTGCGCGGGATGTCCAAGGTGTTGGTGATTTCAACGCCGAAGACGAAGGCGATGGCGCGTCAGTACCACAACTGCCCCACGCTTGAGGGCATTGAGCTGGAGGACGAGGGTGATTATGGAACTGCACTGTCGCATTGGAGGAAGCGCAACATGAGGGACGAGCTGATGACTAGTGATATGGGGGTTGGGTTGTACTCGGCACTGACGCTTGCAGCATTTGAGGACATGGGTGTTTATGTGGCAAACTACAGCGCGGCGGAGATGTTGTGGTGGGGCAACAACTCTGGCTGTGGGCTGCTGGAAAAGAAGTGCTTGACCGACGGCATCAGCGAATACCCTGATCTGTTCTGCAACCAGTTTGACAAAAACGTTAAGTTCTTCTGCACGTACGACCGTCTGTCCCTGGGATCCTGTGACCTGAAGAGGCACGAGGAAGCCCTGCCAGAGGAGTATCGGTACTTCGCTGATCCCCGAGTTGGCGGTGATGACCCCTACATGAGCAGATGTCCGTATGTTGAGGCGTATTCTAATGGTGGTTGCACCAACGGCAATCCTTCATTAATGCCTGGCAGTGTCGTTGGCCCGAACTCGCGGTGCGTGAAGGGGCAGGAGCTTCAATTCGACGACGAATATATTGGCGATGTGTGTGTGGACACTCGATGCGGCGACGGCACACTGAGCGTGCGGTTTCTTCGTGACGATGCGTGGCACGAGTGCCAGGAGGGTGAAACCGTTACGCCGCCATCGGGTCCCTGGCGTGGGAGCATTGTGTGCCCCCAATACGCCGATGTGTGCACCGCCTTCCCGAACATCAGCAGTCACCCAATACCGGTCGTTGACCCGCCTCTAGCGGACGACCCGACATCCGCGGAGGATGCGGAGGGAGACGAGGGTGAGGTTCCGAGGAAGCGGCCGCGGCGACTCTGATTCCGGGGCTCTGCCGCCAATAAATTTATTGGGCAGCGTGGATGGCGAGGCGAGCGGCACTGCGGACGCACCCCAATCGGGCAGCAGCGTCACGCGGTTGTGCTTTGCGCTCTCCTCTGTAGCTCCGTCTCCGGGCGACGGGGCGCTCTTCCACATCTCCACGTGGCGGGGCGGACGTGCACTGCGATGGCGGCCGACGGACGGGTCATCATATTTATTTGAGGAAACGAAAAAACACGAGCAAAACGAGAAAAAGAAAATGCGCGAGCAGCGTTTGGCAGGGTCATGATGTGCACATGGCCCGTGGGCCCCGCACTCGCAAGACGCAGCACTGCAGTAATGATAGCACCGTGCAACTGTTGCGCTACTCCTCTCTTCGCTTCTGAAAAACGGACAATGAGCGTATTTGTTTTTTTTTTTGTGCCTGCGATGCGTGGCTTCACGGACATTTGCATGCTGGGGGATGAGTCTCTGCGCAACCGCGTGGTGGCGAGGTGGTCTGGAGGGAGGGGACGAGTCCCAGCACCGCATGCGCCCACGTGCGTCTTCTGATGCGGGCAGGCGATGGGAAGTCGCTGTGACCCAATGGGTGCGGGGGTGTTCGTGACTGCTTTGCTGAGGGCGGGGGCGAGGACCCTCGATGCGGCGTTCCACGCAGACAGACCTCTCCTGTGCTTTATTAGTATTTATTTTTGGCTGCGGGGGAATGGCCAGGCCCTGCGAGTGGGCGCCAAAACTGCCCAGCCGTGTCCTCTTTGCTCCGCTTATTGGTGTGGGGGTCGCGCACGGTGTGAGTTGTGGGGCCCGCCCCACGCGGGAGGCGAGCGAAAGACGCACTCGACACCTCCTTTTCGTCAGTCATGAATGGTTATGGGTGTGGGGAGTCGTGCTGGGCTCGCCGTGGGCCACGGAATGCATCCGTCGCAGCCATGGCGACAGCATGACGGGAGTGCGAGGTATCTTTTTGTCTTCCCTGTCCTGTGCTGGAGGATATCAAGTCGCGGACTATTTTTTATACTCTTCTCTCCTGCGCCCTCTCTTCACTAAGTATGCGTGTCACAGCGTGGATGGTGTGATGGTATTTTTGAGTGCATGTGAGAAGGAATGTTATTGAGAGGGCTGGTTGCCCAACTTAATGTAAGTTTTGGTAAAACGACGAAAATATTTCCGTGTGATCCTTTTCCTATCTTATGGTCCTTTGAAAGGCCCCGACGGAAGGAATCAAGGAACCGATAACGGCACGACGAATTTTATTTTTATTTTTTCCATCCACCCTCTTTGATTCCGACCTTGCGGCGGAGTCTTATGGCTGGAGGGCCCAAAGTGTTCCAACTCGTAAGTAATAAATGTTTCCAATCCGAACACACCGCACCGTGGCACGAGGATGGCTATCCGAACATATAGATGTAGTTGGGACTAACGTTGAGGATGTGGCGAGGCCGCTGCCTCTCCATGACCCTCTTCTTTCCCGTCCTGTTTTATTTATACGTATCAGTTCAGTATCTGGTCAGCAGCGCTGCAGAACATTTTTCCGTGCTTCGGCTTTATTTGGAGGCTGTGTCGGTTTTTTGTTGTTGTCTGTGTGTGCGCTGCGGTAATTTGTGGTGCTGCCCCTCCTCTCTTGTGGCTGCAGCGTCTCTTTTCCCTCTGTTCCTCTTTCCTTCTGCTTCTCCTCCCGCAGACAAGGCCTGTGCTACCACCACTACCACTAATACCACTGCTGTTGCCCGCACCGCAGGAACAGACACACTGTACCGAAGCCATGCGCCAGCCACGCCACACCGCGCCACTGCCACTGCTGCCGTGGCTCATGATGGTGGTGTGTTGCGCCGGTGTTTGCGTTGCCGCGGATCCCGCCGTGAAGCACCGCTGTGGGTTTGACGCGATGATGAAGAAATACGGCCGGCTGCCGACTGCGGTGGTGCGTGAGGTGCCGCGCCGGGGACAGGGCGCCGTGCAGGCGTACACCGCCGCCAGCGAGGATGGGGACGATGGCTGGGCTCCGATCCGCATCAAGGTGTCCGCGGAGGACATGCACGACCCGTTGAGGCACTGCACTGCGGCGGGGGATCTGCGCATTGACCACGACGGCCGCGCAATAACATGCGGGGCGGACGACGTGTTGACGGAGGAGAGGAGGAGCATTATTCTGAGGCAAACTCTCCCCGCCGCCATTCAGCTGCACGCGGAGCGTCTCTCCGTGAGGCCCGTGACGCGCCCCGTCCTCATTCCTCGAACCGGACTGGGGATGTGCGATAACTTCACCATCCCAGACAAGCACCACACGGTGGGTGTGGTTGGTACCGACATGATTCTCTACGCCAATATTTTTCCGACTTCTGGTGTAAGGGCGTGGGCGGCTCTGTGCGTCCTGCTGGATGATGGTCGTCCATTTGCTGCTGCCGTGAACTTTGACCCGAGCCAAATAGCGGTGTCGATTGGAGACGTGCGTGCAGCGGCCCACGAGTTGGGGCATGCCCTTGGGCTTGCGCGAGTGCAGTTTTTTGTGTTACATATGATTTCCGAGGTCCCGAACGTGCGCGGGATGTCCAAGGTGTCGGTGATTTCAACGCCGAAGACGAAGGCGATGGCGCGTCAGTACCACAACTGCCCCACGCTTGAGGGCATTGAGCTGGAGGACGAGGGTGGCCCTGGAACTGTACTGTCGCATTGGAGGAAGCGCAACATGAGGGACGAGCTGATGACTAGTGATATGGAGGTTGGGTTGTACTCGGCACTGACGCTTGCAGCATTTGAGGACATGGGTGTTTATGTGGCAAACTACAGCGCGGCGGAGATGTTGTGGTGGGGCAACAACTCTGGCTGTGGGCTGCTGGAAAAGAAGTGCTTGACCGACGGCATCAGCGAATACCCTGATCTGTTCTGCAACGAGTTTGACGACGAAGAAAGGCTTTTCTGCACGTACGACCGACTGTCCCTGGGTTACTGTGACCTGAAGAGGCACGAGGAAGCCCTGCCAGAGGAGTATCGGTACTTCGCTGATCCCCGAGTTGGCGGTGATGACCCCTACATGAGCAGATGTCCGTATGTTGAGGAGTATTCTAATACTGGGTGCACCAACGGCAATCCTTCCGCAATGCCTGGCAGTGTCGTTGGCCCGAACTCGCGGTGCGTGAAGGGGCAGGAGCTTCAATTCGACGACAAATATATTGGCGATGTGTGTGTGGACACTCGATGCGGCGACGGCACACTGAGCGTGCGGTTTCTTCGTGACGATGCGTGGCACGAGTGCCAGGAGGGTGAAACCGTTACGCCGCCATCGGGTCCCTGGCGTGGGAGCATTGTGTGCCCCCAATACGCCGATGTGTGCACCGCCTTCCCGAACATCAGCAGCCACCCAATACCGGTCGTTGACCCGCCTCTAGCGGACGACCCGACATCCGCGGAGGATGCGGAGGGAGACGAGGGCGAGGTTCCGAGGAAGCGGCCGCGGCGACTCTGATTCCGGGGCTCTGCCGCCAATAAATTTATTGGGCAGCGTGGATGGCGAGGCGAGCGGCACTGCGGACGCACCCCAATCGAGCAGCAGCGTCACGGGGTTGTGCTTTGCGCTCCCCGCTGCAGCTCCGTCTCCGGGCGACGGGGCGCTCTTCCACATCTCCACGTGGCGGGGCGGACGTGCACTGCGATGGCGGCCGACGGACGGGTCATCATATTTATTTGAGGAAACGAGAAAACACGAGCAAAACGAGAAAAAGAAAATGCGTGAACAGCGTTTGGCAGGGTCATGATGTGCACATGGCCCGTGGGCCCCGCACTCGCAAGACGCAGCACTGCAGTAACAATAGCATCGTGCAACTGTTGCGCTACTCCTCTCTTCGCTTCTGAAAAACGGACAATGAGCGTATTTGTTTTTTTTTTTGTGCCTGCGATGCGTGGCTTCATGGACATTTGCATGCTGGGGGAATGAGTCTCTGCGCAACCGCGTGGTGGCGAGGTGGTCTGGAGGGAGGGGACGAGTCCCAGCACCGCATGCGCCCACGTGCGTCTTCTGATGCGGGCAGGCGATGGGAAGTCGCTGTGACCCAATGGGTGCGGGGGTGTTCGTGACTGCTTTGCTGAGGGCGGGGACGAGGACCCTCGATGCGGCGTTCCACGCAGACAGGCCTCTCCTGTGCTTTATTAGTATTTATTTTTGGCTGCGGGGGAATGGCCAGGCCCTGCGAGTGGGTGCCAAAACTGCCCAGCCGTGTCCTCTTTGCTCCGCTTATTGGTGTGGGGGTCGCGCACGGTGTGAGTTGTGGAGGCCCGCCCCACGCGATCCTCCTCGCCCCACGCGGGAGGCGAGCGAAAGACGCACTCGACACCTCCTTTTCGTCAGTCATGAATGGTTATGGGTGTGGGGAGTCGTGCTGGGCTCGCCGTGGGCCACGGAATGCATCCGTCGCAGCCATGGCGACAGCATGACGGGAGTGCAAGGTGTCTTTATTTGTCCTGTGCTGGAGGATATCAAGTCGCGGACTATTTTTTATACTCTTCTCTCCTGCGCCCTCTCTTCACTAAGTATGCGTGTCACAGCGTAGATGGTGTGATGGTATTTTTGAGTGCATGTGAGAAGGAATGTTATTGAGAGGGCTGGTTGCCCAACTTAATGTAAGTTTTGGTAAAACGACGAAAATATTTCCGTGTGATCCTTTTCCTATCTTATGGTCCTTTGAAAGGCCCCGACGGAAGGAGTCAAGGAACCGATAACGGCACGGCGAATTTTATTTTTATTTTTATTTTTTCCATCCACCCTCTTTGATTCCGACCTTGCGGCGGAGTCTTGTGGCTGGAGGGCCCAAAGTGTTCCAACTCGTAAGTAATAAATGTTTCCAATCCGAACACACCGCACCGTGGCACGAGGGTGGCTATCCGAATATATAGATGTAGTTGGGACAAACATTGAGGATGTGGCGAGGCCGCTGCCTCTCCATGACCCTCTTCTTCTCGTCCTGTTTTATTTATACGTATCAGTTCGGGATCCGGTCAGCAGCGCTGCAGAACATTTTTCCGTGCTTCGGCTTTATTTGGAGGCTGTGTCGGTTTTTTGTTGTTGTCTGTGTGTGCGCTGCGGTAATTTGTGGTGCTGCCCCTCCTCTCTTGTGGCTGCAGCGTCTCTTTTCCCTCTGTTCCTCTTTCCTTCTGCTTCTCCTCCCGCAGACAAGGCCTGTGCTACCACTACTACCACTAATACCACTGCTGCTGCCCGCACCGCAGGAACAGACACACTGTACCGAAGCCATGCGCCAGCCACGCCACACCGCGCTGCTGCCGCTGCTGCCGTGGCTCATGATGGTGGTGTGTTGCGCCGGTGCTTGCGTTGCCGCCGATCCCGCCGTGAAGCACCGCTGTGGGTTTGACGCGATGATGAAGAAATACGGCCGGCTGCCGACTGCGGTGGTGCGTGAGTTGCCGCGCCGGGGACAGGGCGCCGTGCAGGCGTACACCGCCGCCAGCGAGGATGGGGACGATGGCTGGGCTCCGATCCGCTTTAAGGTTTTTACGGAGGATCTGAAGAATCCACAGAAGTACTGCACTGCGGCGGGGCAACAAAGGTCGGACCTTCGGGGAATAGTGACTATTTGTCGAAGAGAGAATATATTGACGGAGGAAAAGAAGAATATCTTTGAGTCGTATGTCATTCCCAAAGCCCTTAAAATGCACTCTGATCGACTTTTTGTTAAACCCTTGAGGATCAGCTTGGTTGTGCCGGATCCTGTGTATGGAATTTGCACTGAATTTACGATTCCGCGTGAACACCGGACGAAAGGGGTGCCTAATACCGACATGGTTATTTACGCCGGTGCTGCACCCGTGACTGGGGCAGCGGCGTGGGCAGGGCCGTGCCTCACATTGCGGGATGGTCGTCCATTTGTTGCTGTGTTGAACTATGATCCTCGGACCCTTGTTCGTGATGATGCGACAGTGCGCCAAACCGCACATGAGGTTGCACATGCTCTTGGATTTGGCTACGAGATAATGGAACCACTCGGTATGGTGAGCAAGATCCCTAATGTGCGCGGCAAGGAATTTGTGACGGTTGTGAGTTCTGCAATAACGAAGGAGAAGACGCGGGAACACTACAACTGCCCTACCGCTCCGGGCATGGAGCTGGAGGACGAGGGTTATGGGGGGACAGCGGGATCCCACTGGGAACGTCGCAATGCGTTGGATGAGTTGATGGCAGGCATTTCAGGGGCCTCTCTCTACACATCACTGACAATGTCGGCTTTTGAGAGTATGGGATTTTATCGCGCCAATTGG